GAAAAACTGATGACTTAATGAAACTGCTAACAGAAGATCAAGAGTTGTTTACATGGGACTGAATGAACTGATGGGGATGACTGTAATTTTTATGAATTTTCATTTGAAATATTGCTGCATTTTTAAATGTTTTGTTTTTTCAGATTTAAGGAAAACTTTCTCTTTTCTCTTAAGCTAACTATAACTTATAGCAATTTGGTAAATTATACTCTTTTAAACAGAATTGAAACATTTATCTTTTCTCCCTACCTGATCCTTCCAGAATTTGGAAGCTCTTAGTGAGTAAATATTCTCATTTTCATGGCAATACAGTTATTTGCATAAGTTCCATAAGAATCTCTTCTCCTTATAACAGGACATAATTGGAAACATTGGTTATATTGCCAAAGCTTTAACTGGAATGTCATATTTGAGAGAAACATATGTGGACTCAGATATGACCAGACAGCTTTTGGGGAACAAAGATTGGACTTTATGAAATAAAGCCACTTGTAAATATTGGCCTGGTACCTTTTTCACAGGGTACCCAGCAACCTTACCAGATGAGTCAAGAATGTCAAGTCTCTGGCAGGTGCAAGGAACCTTGAAACATTTTGGGGAACCTCAGAAGAAGACAGGAATTCACCCAAATCCAAGGTATTACAGACCTTGTCTGACAACAAGTTCTTGGCTTAGCCTGGCTGCGAGAGCCCTATAAAGTTCAATCTGAGATTCCTTATAAAAAGTTCCAGCAAAGCAGATTTAAAAGAGCCTATATGACCAATTGCTATTATTGCTGTACTTATGTAAATAACTGGGCCAAATTTATTGAAACTAGACTTATTTTGCAAACCAGTTATTCTTAATTTGGCTATCTTTGGTAAAAAGGAGGGTGATTTTAGAGAGAAAAATTATGTCTCAGTAAAAACTATAGCACACATGTGTAAATATTAGATTTGAGTTCTCTTAATTGTCTTTGAGGTTTTTGTTTTCTACCTGTAAACTGGCCTGGATCATGAATTCTTCTAGTCTCCTAAAATATCTGGCTACAAATCTCCAAACTAACATTTTCAATTTTTTCCATCCTTTTCATTTGGAATCATTGAGAACAGAAACCACGCTTGCTCCTGAAGCCCTCAAACTGAAGCTGGACAACTTGATATAAACTTAAGAGAGATCACCACAACAGCATGCTTGTTGCTATATAAGCCACTCAAAAGGATACCTGAACACCAGATGACATCATCAGAGACATTTCAAGCAGCAACAGATGTTTCAACCCTGACATATAGAAATCTTCTTCACAGACTGCCCCCTGGGCTCAGAAACCAGTTTATAATTTGGTCCAACCATTAACCTTGTTTTTCTTTTTATTTCCATAGAAATGCTTCCTACTAAATACCTGATTGCTTGCTTATACAATACAGGCCAAATTTTGGGAGCCCACCTGCATCACCACCTTCTAAAATAAATTTAACTGGATTTATCTGTTATCAGGACTAAGAAATGTGTTCAGTGAGATGGAACAATCCACCAACTCAGCTTCTGGACTGTGAAACTTCTTAAAGTTTCAAAGGTGAGACTGTGGGGGATCAGAATTGGCCACCTCAAAATGTGTCCCTTTGGCTTGATTATTATTTTTTTTTTAAAATTTTTTGTTTATTGGAGTAACATTGGTTTATAACATTGTAAAAATTTCAGGTGTACATCATTGTACTTTTTTTTTTTTAATTTTTTGTTTATTGCAGTAACATTGGTTTATAACAGTGTAAAAATTTCAGGTGTACATCATTGTACTTCTATTTCTGCATAGATTACATCACGTTCACCACCAAAATACTAATTACAACCCATCAC